TAAGATTAATTAAGAGATTGTATATTATAAAATTAGTTACAATGTAAATTGTGCTAAAAGAATTTTATTTAATGATTAAGTTAATTGAATAAAATTAAAGAACCCATACTCGTTTTTAAGGGGATTATATAACCTATAACCTATATTGTTACTATTGGGTGGAATTAACAAATATAATATATATTTGATAACTATTATTGATTCTCTCTCTCTTTTTCTTTCTTTTTTTAGTTATGGAAAGGTACTTTAAGAAAAGTTATGTCCGAATCATTGCGACTTGTTAAAAACAAGGAAAGTCATCATAAAGAGTTTCATAATTTGAAAAAAAGCTCTTATGAAGTTGATTTAGCAAATCTTTCATCGGATCCCGTATCGCGAAAGCCAATTATGGATTTTCATCCTAACATAAGGGATGAAGTTCGAAGAGCATATCTATAAAAAAGGACCTTGCCAACCTCGTGAACATAATTTTAAACAAACTCTACAAGAAAATGTGTTAAGAAGATTTAATTCATCTTAGTTTGATGAACACCGCACATGGTTAGAATATAGTAAGGTGAAAGAATTAGCATATTGCTTATGTTGTTACCTTTTCAAATTAGATGGTAAAGAGCATGAGAGTTGTGGTGATGCCTTTGTTGTGGAAGGTTTTAGCAATTGGAAGAAAAAAGAAAAGTTACAAGCACTTGTTAGAGGTCCCGGTAGTACACACAATTGGGCTTCCCATAATTGCTAAGCTTTGATGAATCAACAAGCAACATTTGCAAATAATTGTCAATAAGCAATCAAGATAAGCTCGAAGTGACTATCGGGTTTGTTTAAATGCTTCAATTGACTATGTTTGATTTCTTTTAAAACAAGGTTTAGCTTTTCATGGTCATGACGAATTGAATGATTTAGCTAATCAAGGAAATTTAAAGGCAACTTTAAAACTTTTTTATGATCATAATGAGGATATCAAAAGAATTCCAATAGATAAGTATGTTGAAAATCTTAAATTGACATCTTCGGATATTCAAAAAGATATTATAAGTGATTGTGCAATTGAAACCACCAATTCCATCATTCAAGACCTTGGGAATGCTTTATTATCTATTCTAATGGATGAAGCTCGTGATGTGTCAACTAAAGAACAAATGGTAATTGTTATACATTATGTGAACAAGGAAGGCAAAGGGGTTAAATGTCTTTTAGGCATTATGCATGTTGAAAACACTATTGCTTTATCATTAAAGGTCGTAATTGAAGCAAATTTGCCAAGAATTAAGCATGTCAAGACTATGTGGTCAAAGCTATTATGGGGCAAGCAATATGCAAGTTGAGTTTAATGGTCTTAAATCTTTAATCTTGAAGGAGAATGGAAGTGCTTTTTATGTTTATTGTTTTGCACATCAACTTCAATTAGCACTTGTAGTTATTGCAAAAAATCACATGTCTATTACCCTATTCTTTAGTTTAGTTTCAAGTGTTGTAAATGTTGTTGGGGGATCTCGTAAATGCCATGATATGCTTTTAGAGTTTTAAGCCATTAAAGTTTTAAAGGTAATTAAAAATGGTGAACTTGAAAGTGGACAAGGAAAAAATCAAGAGTCTACTCTTAAAAGAGTTGGAAAGACACAATGGGGTTCACTTTACACTCGCTTTGATTAACTTGATTAAGATGTTTTTCTTCTATAGTTGATGTCTTTGAATTCGTTATAGGAAATGGAAAGTCTAACCAAAAAGTTGAAGCTTGCACTTTATTGGATTCATTGCAATCTTTTGATATTTCATTTTATCTTCATTTGATGACACACATATTAGGAATCACTCATGAATTATCATAAGCATTGCAAAGAAAAGATCAAGATATTGTGAATGCTATAGCCTTGGTTAAGATAGCTAAGCAACCTTGCAATTAATGCGAGATAATGGATGGAGTTCGTTGTTAGATGAGGTATCTTTATTTTGTACTAGCCATAATAAACAAGTTCTTAATATGAAAGATACACATATTACTAGGGGATTGTCTCGATGTGATACCGAGAAAGTGACAAATTAGCATTATTACAAGGTTAAGTTATTTTGTGCGGTTATAGATTTGCAACTTTAAGAGCTTAATAATCAATTTGATGAAGTGAATGCGAGTTGCTTTTATGTTTTGCATGCTTGAGTACGGCTAATTCATTCTCTCGCTTATGATAAAGATAAATTGCTTCATCTTGCTTAGTTTTATCCCGTTAATTTCTTTATTATCCAACTCATTGTTTTTTAAAATCAGCTTGGAAACATATATCATTGTTGTGAAGTCTAGTTTTGAGTTTTCGAACATGAAAGAAATTAGTGATCTTGCTAAAAAAATGATGTAGACAAGAAAAGATATTTTGTATGCACTAGTTTATAGACTCATCACTTTAACTCTTGTTCTACTAGTTGCAACCGCCATAGTTGAGAGAGCGTTTTTGTTATGAAATTTGTAAAGAATTAATTATGTAACAAGATGGAAAATCAATGAATATCTAATTGTTTGATCATGTATATTGAAAATGGTATATTTAACACTATTGATAATGAAGTTATCATGCGTTGCTATCAAGACATGAAGAATTGTAAAGAACAATTGTATTTTTTTTTTATTAAAGAATATTTATGAATACTTTATTTTTGAAATATTTAACTATTTAGCTATTTCATTTATGTTAGTATGTATTGCATTAGGTTTTTTTTTATGTTTTTTTTTTTTTTTTTTTTTTTTTTTTTTTTACGTATAAGACTACTACATTTTTTCCTCCTTAATTTCAAATCCTAGCTTTGGCCACTGATTGAAACATTATGTGGGAAACACGCAGGGCCATGATAACTTGGAGCATCATTGATATAAAGAACGGCATGTCAATGAATCTTTACAAAATCCTTATGATCTGGAAAACTGAATAATTGGGTTTTTGAGCATTCTTAGCAAAAGTTTTTGTATTTGTCTAGCCAAGTTTGTGTAAGCATTGAAGTTGATATATACCTGATTAAGTGACATAATTACAAAATCCTGACTCTGCAAATTACTTTTTATGTTTCATGCAAAATCGATTCTGTAATAACGTCATATGACTTTGAGACAGTGGACCATATATCGATAGAAGATGTGGACAAGAACCAAATACACTCAGCAAATTATTAAGATGTCATGCTAACGGAACGTATTGTTTTGAAGGGTACCTTGGATGCCCCTAAGATTCTAGGAAGAATGCGCATCCAATGTTATTATTGGCCAAGGGAAAAAAAAAAATCAAAATGAAGAGGGTGTTTCAGTGTCAATGACATGCTTCAAAAAATCAAAATGAACGGGGCAAATCCAATATAGGTGATTCTCTTAGTGATTCAAGGGGGAAAAAAAGGGAGAAGAAAGAAGAAAGAAGAAAGGGAAGATTCAGTAGTAAGTATGAGTAGCCTTTCTCAAAATTTCCAATTACCTATCTCATTCCTTCTAGAATTTCATTTCGAACTTATAAGTTTCAACTAACATATAGTAAGGGGGAGCGGCATTTGTTTTTAGTACATGTAATGTGAGGTCAAGTACCCTGGAATGGTATATGCTCTGATGGTTATTGTTGAGTTGAATGATTAGTACAAAAAGAGAATGCGACACATACTAACAGAGATAACAATAAATTGTCCGTATTGGAATGTGGTGGTGACAGCTTTTATACATCCATACAAAATGACAGGTACCTTGAAAGGCTAGCCATGAAAATGTAAAAATCTTTAGCAGATTTAGTTTAATTTGTATCACTGACAGATATCGGGGGGGAGGGAATATGGTCCTTTACGTCATGGATATTAGCTTTGTCATTGCTTTTTCAAGAAACAAACCGTATAGTATTAGTATATCTTATTGCGCGAACACAGTCTGACACTCTCTTTCAATTTATATATAAAAACTTAATGCTCAACAACTCAAGGTCAGGATGGCCGAGTGGTCTAAGGCGCCAGACTCAAGTTCTGGTCCTCGTGAGAGGGCGTGGGTTCAAATCCCACTTCTGACATTTTCAATCTTTTTTCCCCATTTTCTGCTTCTGATTTTTTCCCCTCCTGATAGTGAATTATGTTCTCTAATTCCAAGTACCTTTTTTTTTTTTTTAAACTGACATTCATAGGTCACGAAGTAGCAAAAACGGCCTTGTTTGAAAAGCCGAAGGATCTGTAGCTGTTCGGCTTTCATTGGGTTTCTTAAACCCCTTGTCTGTAGCCATTTTTAATATCTATTTGTGGACCTACTCTATACGTCCAACTGAAAAGTTAAGGAGGCTGGAGAGCGATGAGACCAGCTCCCACAAAGCTGGTTTCTGATGGCATCATTCATTCTAACATGCGATATAACACTTCATCTTGTTGAGAATTGTTATCTAATCCTTTGAGGTATGGTTTCTGGGTTTGGGTTTTTTATTATTGATTTTGTCCAAAGATATCCATACTCAGCTCCTGGGTGTAGTAATCATTCATTTATTGTTCATAAGATTCCCATCCTCAACTCCTCACAACATTTTCAATTTTTGCTAGTTCACAAAATTCAAATTCATTTCCATCTTTAGCTTGAATTTCTACCATGTCAAAGAGGAACCAAAATAATAATAATAATAAATAACAGAGAGAGAGAGAGAGAGAGAGAGAGAGAGAGAGAACCCAATTAGTGAGAGAGTATTTTCAATGCTAACAAGAAAGATTGCTGGGAAGAAAAGGATTATGCTTTTTCCCTTATTGTCCCTAGTTTAGTTACAGGCATGACTGAAAGATGTAATTGACTAATTCTACAAGTGGACACATGATGGAAGAAGCCTCTGAAACTCTGTCAATTAATACTACTTGCATGGTTGATCAACATTGCTAACGCTGCAGTCTTCTAAAGAACCCTATGCTCAATTTCCCCTCGAGAAGCATATGGTTCCACAACAACAGCCCGCAAGCATGTTTCATGGACATGTGACCAACCGATAAATGATCTGTATGTGAAGTACAAAGCTAAAGAGCTATTTCATTAAATCCAAGAATACAAAGCCATTCCAGAGGCTATGAAGAAGCATAGATGGCAACAAATTTCGTGACCGTGCAAATATAGCACCCATAACCACCCCAAGAAAAATAAGCGGTAGCATTCTCTGTACATTAAAATGTGCTAGCGCAAAGGCAACTGAACTCACCAATATTGCACACCAGACTGGCATGTACCTAGTCAAGGATGGGAGAAGGAAACCCCGGAAGACAATTTCCTCCCATACAGGCGCACACACTGAAACTACTATTGCATACAGTGCCATTGCCACTGGATCACGTGCTGCAATTGACTGCTCAACACTTGAAAGGGTAACAGGTGTAGAAGGCAGAATAGGCAAGAGGCTAAGGTTGAACAGTGAAAGCCGGTTAACTAGTGGAAACATGAGACATCCAAGAGCAACATCAAACAGCCAGTTCCCTTTCAGCCTGAACCTAAACCAATCAGATGAAAGGGGACGAAATCGAGACAGGCAACGATGAAGGATTGCAATTCCAGCAAGGCCTTCAGTCACATCAGTCACAAGACTGAACAAAGCTTGGCCTCTAAATGTTAGAGATTCCTTGTTGAAGCCTGCAATGTGCGCTGCAAAGGGAATCACCCAGGACCCAATGAACCAGAATGAGACAACCCAGAGAAGCATCACCTGCATTGCCAAATAATGATAAGTTACTGCCCTCACTTTCAATCTTAATTATTAACTATAATTTTACTTCAGCGAAAGGGTTACTACTAAAAATATAGTTGACCAGTTTGTAACAAGGGGTGGTCCTGCTTTTGGTATCTTACTAAAGAATTTTGAGATAACTTCCACTTCAATTATTTCATTCCAAACTACATCCTTAAATTTATATCTTCAACTTGTAAATAAACTTTGCAAGGCAGATGACCATTTCATCACATATTGGCATTACGGTAAAGCATTGAGTAATTGTTTTGTTCATTCAATTCCAATCCTCGGAGTCAGAATCTAAATAAGAATTTAGCTATCTGTTCACAACATAAGATCAACAGCAATCACCACAAAAACAAAAACATGAATGCACAAAAATTCAACTGTTGCACCTGGTGATACAAAATTGAAGAAAAAACTCCATGACAATGCCAGTAAAAGCCATTGAGGCAGGAAATCAACTAACAAAAATTTATGGTTGTACATTTTCATTTTCTTAACAACCGATAACTCCTTGTGATTTAGTGACAGCTACAACAGCTTACTATCTAGTAGCTATTTCCCGGATGCTTCATCATAGAGTAATTAAGTAGAAAAGGCTAACCTGAACTATGGTCTCTGCTGTCCATGGTACAGTCCACCGGCTCCCAAATGCCCTCAACACTACGTTAGCAGCCTGAAACAGTAACAAACTAAATAATGAGATGTTCACATAGTATTTTACCAGAAACACATATATTTGTCTTGATAGCCAAAGTTGTATTTACATTGTTTCAACTTTCAGAAACAAGACAGAAACACGATGCCCAGTATATTATTTTGCGAACAGCCTTTTATATAATAGAATTCATTCACAATTTACTTTTTGACCCCTTATGATTTCAGATGAGCCAACAATCATAATGGTCGAATCAGCACTATTGATTTATGAAATGAGGTTGGTATGCAAGTCCAGATGATCAAAATGAAGGATATGTCCATAAATCAACTAATTCACGGACTCATCAACTGCAAAGGAATTTACTTAGCTGAAGTGGGAACATAGGATCTTCAGTGATCTTAAACCACGTTAAATATTATAAGACCTGAGTGGAAATCAACTACATCTTCATTTAAATAGCAGGAAAAGCATGCATTGCATGAGTCTGCAACTAAAATTCACCTGAGTCACAACCATAAAACTAACACCATCTAGATTTTTCCTCACTACTCAGCTCCGCTATTTTTAACTCAGTTCTTTCATATATAACAGCAACTCAAAACAATTAAAAGTACCATAAAATCAATACAAATCAGAAAAACTATACCTCTCGAAGACTCAATAGCCAATCTCTTTTAACATTCTTAGAGTTATCCAACTCAGGCTTCACCAATTCCTCAGGCACGTAGCGTTCAACCCTATCAGACCCAGGATTTACCTGAGAAAATTCCTCATTTCTAAAGCATGAAATTCTCCATTTCTGCAACATAATCCACAAAACATAAACAATAAACTAATAACTATTTCATTGGTGAGGAAAAAAAACTCTCAATTTGGTGTATTTTTCATTTTTAAAAAATCCAATTAGGCTCAAATAACAGCCTTTTATTAGCTAATTTCAGTGTATTTTTTAGTACCTTCAGCTCCTAAATCGATAAAATGTTCCAACTTTCAAGTTCCTCTCTTTCCTTTGCATTTCCACAGCAACCAAACAAGACCTAACTACTAATCCCAGACTAAACAGCTACGACTAAATTGAAAAATCAGAGAAAAAATTGGAACTTACATGCTTTGGTAGCTTCGAATTGGATTCAAAGATCCGATTATTCCTCGCTAAAAGAGAATAATTTCGAGGTCGATTAAAAACCCTAAGTTTGGGTATTGAAGGAGCAAGAATGGGTTGTTGAGGTAAGCTCAACATTGGGACTGATTAAAAACCCTAATTATTTGCATGTGGATTTTTATTGATTAATTGATTTGAATTCAAATATACACAGTTTTGGGAAATTTTAAAAAGAAAACCCTAATTCATTGAATGTGGGCTTTTTTCTGAGGGAAAGAGCATGTTGTTTGGCAGTTGAGGATAGGCAGTCTATGATTATAGATGGGGGATTTAAAATGTGGTTGTGAATTAATTTTCTGAATGGTGGGTGTTTGGTGACGGGGGATTGGTTTGGGAGATTTTAGTGCTTTGGTCCTAAATAAACCGGCTAGAGATTTTAACGTCCATGTACTATTAACAATCATTTAACTAGGTTTTTGTATCAATTTAAACTTTTATTAAGTTATTATCTGAATTAATTTATTTACTATTATTTTTTCTTTTAACGATGTTAAGTTAAATACATAATTTAGCAACACGTGTTGTTTGAACCATGATTCCATTAGTTGTATTTTATTTTTATTTAAAAAAACATTTATTGAGATAATAACAAGAATTTCAAAAAAAAAAAAAAACCAACTAGGTAGTTGAAAGTTGTGGGATTTGAGAATTAAAAACCCTAATTATTTCACTCTTAACTCAATCTCTCAAATCTAAATCTCATTCTTTTATTCATTGTCTCTCACTATCTCTCACGTTGAAATAGAGGAGTTATTTTCCACTATTGGTAATTCATTATTCATCTTAACATATTTTTTCTTGATTTGTTTATCGAGACCACAAACACCATTACTTCACCTTCTATCTTTCGAGTTAAAGATTCACAAAGGATGAAGATTTGAATGGCAATTGATAGGGTGGTTATTTTTCTTAATGCTAAAAGTGTAAGAAGGAGATATAAGAGAGAGAAGGCAGAAGAAGAAGACAGATTGCAATATGATTCTTGTTGTACTCGTGTTACAATCTTTATAAAACATTTGTTTTACTCATTCTTAATAAAATAGACCTTAACCTATTTAGTTAACTTAGCCTAAGGTATACGAGCCCAATTAAGGACATTAGCACACTACAATTATAATATGATAGTATAGCCCATCTAGGAGGGCCAGCCTATTTCCATTAACAACCTAGTGCAAAGTAAACCAATTAATATGGTTGATGTAGGACCCTTCAATCCCTAAGTGAAAGATAAAGCCTCAAATCAATTAAGGGCACCTCGTTCTCTTTAAGAGTGAAATGCCTACATCAATTGCCTTTCCCTCAAAAGTTGTCTTATCCTCAAGAGTAAAAGATGGAAAATAGCAAGCGATATTCTTTATAGACTTCTAAGTTGCCTCGGCTAGAGAGAGGTCATGTAGTGTATCAACCACTATATTGTTGTCTTGTCTTATTTCTTTATGATACTTTTGTCAATGATTGTTAGTGGATAAGGTGGGGAGCTAGAAGGATAGGCAAGCAAATCCTTTTAGGTGTAGGAGTTCCAATAGCCTCTCGAGGAGGGAAATATAGAAAGCGAGGTGAATTGAAGCTACTTCATAAAGCTTTAAAAGATAAGCTACCGACCCCATTTTATCTTTGACCATATAGGGACCATAGTATCAAGTAAATAGCTTGTCTAACCGTAATTGTCTACCGAGTGTTATTTGTATGATTTTAACTTCAAATGAACTCAATCACCAATTGCAAATTGGTGTTCTATTTTACATTTGTCAATGATTACTAGTGGGTAAGGTGGGGAGCTAGAAAAAGAGGCAAGCAAATCCTTTTGGGTGTATGAGTTCCAATAGCCTTCGAGGAGAGAAAAATAGAAAGCGAGGTGAATTGAAGCTACTTTAGGAAGCTTTAAAAGATAAGCTACCGACCCATTTTATCTTTGATCATATAAGGACCATAGTATTAGGCGGATAGCTTCTCTAACTTGTGCTTGGCCACTAAGTGTTATTTGTATGGTTGTAACTTCAAATGAACTCAATCGCCAATTGTAAATTGGTGTTCTATTTTACAATTGTCAATGATTACTAGTAGGTAAAGTTGGGAGCTAGAAGGAGAGGCAAGTAAATCCTTTTAGGTGTATGAGTTCCAATAGCCTTCTGAGGAGGGAAAAATAGAAAACGAGGTGAATTGAAGCTACTTTAGAAAGATTTAAAAGATAAGCTACCGACCTCATTTTATCTTTGACCATATAGGGATCATAGTATTAGGCAAATAGCTTGTCTAACTTATGCTTGGCCATTAAATGTTATTTGTATGGTTGTAACTTCAAATGAACTTAATCTCCAATTGCAAATTGGTGTTTTGTTTAATGTTTATTTGATAGTTGTCACATACGATTATGTACACGAGCAAGATTGTGTTTGAGATGGGCTAGTAGGGCTTTCTTAATACTAAGGTATTATTCTATAGCTTATATAGGAGAATCTTTAGGTATATAGGGTATATGCATTAGGAACGGATACCTATAAAGTGCTTCAAATGACGTCAATTTGGTAATCGAGTGGAAATTTACGTTGTACCACCATTCAATAAGAGGAGCCATTTGTACCATTATGATGGAGTGCCCTCTCGCCATACAACAAAGATAAGTCTCCAAGAAATGGTTCATCACTTTTGTTCGATCATCTAATCGAGGATGGTAAGTAGTAGAATAGTGCGGATCAATCCTTTATAGAGAAAATAGTTCCCTCTAGAAATTTTTAAAAAATATTGTATTTCTATCACTAAGAATTAAGGATGGTAAACTATATAACTTGAAGACAATATCTAAGAATAACCGAGATACCAGTTGGGTGGTGTAGGAGTGAGGAAAACTCATAAAATGAACATACTTAGTGAGTTAATCTAACAAATTTGATTTTCTTATCCTTATATCTAAGAAGTCCTTTAATGAAGTCCATAGAAATATCTCGTGAATATTCCTTATGGTACATGTAAAAGTTATAGTAGTCCAGGTGTGACCATTAACTCTAGCTTGAAGGTTTGGCGTGTAGGCACATTCTCTAATGTGTCGTCGATGAGTGCATAAATAGCATGATTTTTATGCTCTATTACATCAAACTTTTTAGTAATTATTGTATTATATTATGTTGTTTAAGAATAAGATGATGGTTTCGGGTTTTGTATGAAAAAATGATGAATTAAAGCAAGGAAACCTAAAACCTAATCAAGGAAGAGAGAAACTTCAAAGAGGTTTAAAAGAGTCATAAGATCGTGTGAAATGACAAAGAAAATAGTCGTTGATCATGTGACTTAAAAGAAGAAATCGTATGGATTCTCAAGCATAAACAAGCTATACGAGCAGAAGTTCTTGCATACGATTTGTAATGTAAAGTCATACGATTGTGTCTTCAAAGTAAGGCAAGTCTACATGGGCGGAAGAGATTCAACATATTTTGAAGAAGAAACATACACGAGCGTAAGCTTGGCAACACATGATGAAGAACAAAGGCACACGACCATGTGTCATAGTTAGCAAGCCATGTAGCACTTATTTTTTAAGGCTTCAAATTGGATGATATCACACAATAAACTATATAACTTTATGTATTAAGTCATGTGGCCACGTGGGCTCGAAACGCACATGATGTAACCCTAGTTTTAGATATAAATAGTAAAGCTAAGGTATTATTTAGAAAGCTCTTTCGACTCGTAATAGCCACTTTTCATCAAAACGCTCTTGATATTTCATTATGAATAATTAAACTCTTTTCTTAGTTGAATTAAGTTGAAGCTTTTGGTTAATTGTTGTGAGATTACCTGGTTTTATTTCTAAATTTATCTTTGTTAGGTATTTTATATATATATATATATATATTTTTACAAGATTGGTTCATAGTTGTATGATTAAATTGATTAGAATACTTGCTAGTTATTTAGTCATATTACTTATTGCTAACTAAGTATTGAAATCCATATAGTCACTTGTCTAAACTTACATGTAGTAGTAATTAGGGATTGATGATTATATGGTGTTTTCGTTCAATTCCTTGAAAAACATAGAACTAGGTTACATCTTCTCAGCGTTTAGGAAGGTGGCTTAGCTTCACCTATCTTTCTCATCTTAACGTTATTATTGGATTAAATCTATCTAGTGCTTAGTAGCTTGTTCAATAGCTAGGGAATTAATTAGGTATTGTATATTTAGTTAACGATTAAGTAAAAAAAGACTAAGATCAACATACATATTGTTGTCTTATGATGAATATTCATATTTAGGATAAGTTAATTATTTAATCAATGAATGGCGACCAAACTAAAAGTAAATACCGAAGTTAAACCTAGGCCTCTTTAATATTATTATTCTTTACTACTTTCTATTGTTTTCAAACATTAAAAATATAAAACCCCCTTAATACTATAAGAACACTCAAACAATCAAAACAATGAATTGATTTCTTTTCTTTATAGCTTCGATCCTTACTTATCCCGATGACATAATCATGATTTAAAGATCTGTAAGGATAAATATAGATTATTAATTTATTGGTGGGTGGACACACCATCAAATTTTGGCACCGTTATCGAGGATTATGGTTGAAGTTTATTATTTTTGGATATTTTTTATTATTTTTGTGTTTTGGTTATCTTTAGTATATGACTAGGTCTTAACCAAGAGAGCTGATTTTCAATCCCGAACCTAAAAAAGAATTGAGCAAGTTGAAAAAAGAAACAAGTTTAGTTTTGATTGGAAGAATCGAGTCATTTGAAAGAGTGGTTTTACCAAGTATGACCACGGTCCTTGAGTTTTATCATCAAGTGAATTAGAAAAAGAAGATATGGCTATAAATATGATAAACAAAACATTAAAAGAAGCTGGCTGCTCCCGATCTCAATCAACGACCCCTATGTATCAAGTTCTCGAATCTAAAGGTGGCATTTGAGCTAAAATGGAGATCGGCACACCTACTTTTAAAATTTTAGGGTCTAGCTAGAGAAAAACTTATAAACATTTAAAAGAATTTTATATGGTTTATTCAATCATGAGCCACAAGGAATATCAAAGAAGCAAATCAAATTAAAGACATTCTTTTTTTGTTGGATGA